ACCAAATTAGACTTTCTACATCCACTGCAGCTCTGTTTTAGTTGGGTGGTGCTGATGGATTAAATTGAGATTGGCTTGATTGAGTGACTTCAGTTGTTGGTGGACTAAGATTGACAGCAGGGTAATTAAGGGAAATGAACTATTTTGGCACCAAATCTTCCACAGTTTCCCTCCTTTACAAAGCATAAAGAGCTTTGTGTGTGCTAGGTTTTGCAAAAACAGAGCAATTTTCCTCAATTCCGTGTGCTGGGTTTTGTAGAAACAAAGCAATATTGAGGAGCTCTGTGTGTGTTGGGTTTTGCAGAAACAGAGAAATATTCAGCAAGAAAAAGAGGGGAAGAAGGATAATCTAAATAGTTTCAGATTTATAGATTTATTTTGTAATTGTAGAAAGATGACTGTAAAGAAAACATCTTGGATAGATCAGAGTTCCGGAAGAAGGTTTTTGACATGTCCAAACATGGGTGTAGGTATCTAGAATGTATGGAGAATTCTGTTTTTTCTTCCATTCCCTTAATGCTTATTGTTTGCATACTTTAATGATGCAGAATGATGGGTGCGGTTTTTTCATTTGGCAAGACCCACCAATGTGCATATGTGCACGACAAGTGATTCGAAAATTGAATAATGTAGAGGCTCAACAAGGGAAGGTTAAGGCAAGAGAGAAAATGTTATGGGTAGCATTAGGAGTTTGTTGCCTCCTAATTTAGATGCTGCTAAACACAGATGCAAAGGAATCAAAGAAGGATGTTTGTAGTTGTAATTGATGATCCTTGCAATCTAATCATAATGTTTAATGTTGTACTGAATGTAATGTTTTTTTTTTGTAATGAATGAAAATGTCTTTTGGTACTGAATTATAAGTCATTTTCTATTGATTCCATAGCATTAAAAAACAAATTTCCTAGAATTGTAAAGTTAAAAATCAATATATTAAGGTTGAATACATTTAAAAACCTGAATACATTCAAAAGGTTGAATACATCAACCATTCAAAAGGTAATAAAAAAAGGTTGAATACATCAACCATTCAAAAACCAAATTAGACTTTCTACATCCACTGCAGCTCTGTTTTAGTTGGGTGGTGCTGATGGATTAAATTGAGATTGGCTTGATTGAGTGACTTCAGTTGTTGGTGGACTAAGATTGACAGCAGCTGTTGATCTGGGTGGAATGAATGCTCCAGCTTGATTGTTTGTATTCCTCCGAATCTAAAAGTGATAAAAAATAAATTTAATACTCTGTTTAGTAACAATGAAATGATTTTAACAAATAAAAAATTATATTGGTAATTTTTTCCTGATTGCTCTGGCCAGTAACAATGGCCTGCATTTAGTTGTTGAATCTGTTGCAATTGTTGCTGCTATAGTTGGTGAATGTGTTGCAGAACTTGTTGTTGCTGCTGCATAACATGTAGCTGCAGAACTTGTTGCTGCTGCACAGAAGGTTGTTGTTACATTTGTTGCACATGTTGCTACTGCAGATGTTGAATCTGCTGCAATTGAATCTTCTACAGTCTTCTTCTTTTTTTGTTTCTACACTATTCCAGGTGTGCAACTTCTATAATTGTGGTCAACTTTCCCACGTTTTCCACGTTTCCCTTTTTTCCTCCTTTCATCTGCCTTCCTTCTCCTTTGTTTTTTGGGTCTACCAGGCTGAACAGTTAATCTAGGTGGATTCAAAGGTCTTTTTCCAGACCTTGGCCACAAGTTAGGTCCATTAATGGGTTTGATAAGATGCTTATACAAACTCATTTAGGATTCTTTTGAGTAGCATTCATGCACATAATTTTCAGGCTTGTCTCCCTAGTGCAAATTTGCAGAAACTGCATGTGCACATGAGATTTCACATAATTGCCACTTTCTACATGCACATGGTCTCTCCCTCAAGTCAACAACAAATTGAACATATGTCCCTTTAACTTGGAATTGTGATCCATTTGACCATTCACAAATGTAGCCCATAGCATCATTTGAAAATGTAATCTAATTTTTCCTTAATTCTAGGACATAATGGACCAGGGTGTCTACTCATGTCATCTCTATGTTTCCTAATCCTTCTCATCAACAACATTCTAATGTTTTCCAGCATTGTAATAATGGGTTTCTCTCTTGCCTCTACTATAACACTATTGAATACCTCACAATTTTTGTTTATCAACATATCACATATTCTACTAGTGGGGAAGTATGCCCTGCACCAATGTTGAGGTGGGACACCTGAATCTAACCACCTAAATGCCCCTTCATCTACATTCCCCATATCTCTCATGCATTTGTTAGAGTACTCCAAAAATGATTGCTTTGGAACATTTCCAAAATAGTTGGGAAAACAACTTACCCCTATACTCTTTCTTGAAGTTATTGAGATGGTGTCTTGCACAAAATCTGTGCTCACAATTTGGCAGAAGGTCATGAATTGCTGGCAACAAACCCTAGAAATGGAAAACTCAAAATGCATTAAACTGGTATCCTTTCAAATGTAGAATCAAACATAGTATGTATGTAGATTAATACATAGTATGCATTAAACTGGTATTACCTTTTGTTGGTCAGAAATAATAGTCCACTCAGACTGGTCTGCAAGCCCAATGTTAGCACAAACTAGTTGTACAAACCAAGTCCATGATGATTTTATTTCCTTTTCAACTGCTACATATGCAAGAGGGTACATTCCGTCATTTGCATCAACCCCTACTGCTGATAGCAACTCCCCTGTGTATGTTCCTCTCAGAAAACATCCATCTAGTTCAATCACCTTTCGGCATCCTGTTATAAAACCTTGCTTGAGTGGCCCCAGACATCAATATAATCTTTTAAATCTTGGATTTTCATCTCCACCAATGTTGTCATCCACATCTACAACCATTAGAGATCCTGGCATTGCCCTTTTAATTTCTTTACAATAATTTCATATAAGTTTGTATTGCTCACTATGATTGTCATCAACTAGAAGCTTAGCCTTTGACTTTATTATATAAAATTTACTTCTTGATATTCCAACTGAGTGATTCTTTAAGATAGTTTCTCTAAAAGACTCTGTTGGCCACTGTGGATTGGACCTAAAGTTATCCACATACCTCTTGGATAACCAATTTGATGTCATATTCTTGTTATAAAATGTTGATCTACAATTGGTATGCTTATCAATCAAACTCTTCACTTGCAATGTGCTTTCACCTTGCATCTTAGATGCAAACACCATCCATTTACATGGTGGTTTGCACTTGGCTCTAACTCTCCATTTCTCATTCTTCACAAAGCTTATTTCCTTCCTATTCAATATAGAATACTCCTTTATAGCATCTCTGAAATGTTTAGCTGTGCCAAATAACATACCAATTGCAAATTGTGGATTGTTCATGTGCTTATCTGGATTAAAAACAGGATGTCTCCCTTTGTGATGATGATTTTCTTCATCGGATGAGGTTTTCAAACTTCTGATGTCATCAGAAAGTTCATCTCTGAAACAACATTATAATCATCAACCCCTAGTGCTTGACTATTCTGGTTAGATCTCATATCACTCCACTTGGGTGCATTATCAACAATCGTATCAATCAACACCTCTTCTTCATTCAATTCATTATTAGTGTTATTTGCAGATTCTGAACTACTAGCAAAGCTTGTTGAAGCATTATCAGGATCATAGTTACTATCACTAGTGCTTGACTACACTTGGCCTTGCATTTCATATATTGTTGCCCCATGGTTTAAGTATATCTCAATCACTCTATATGTTGGTATCCATTCCACCATTGAAAGAATGTCTCTATCATTTTCCAAAGCCCTCAACCCACTGATGATGTCTATTGCAGGAACTTTATACCAACATGCCCTTACATCAGCACACCCAATCTCTTTGGTCATGCAATGAATCTCTGGAATTGAATTTTTTTTTGCATCAACCTAGTCAATGTACATAGCAGAACCACCCACATATTTCTTATATGGTATGCTTATAAACTCACCCCCATAATGTACTTCAATGCTAAATAAAGTAGAGTATATGGCTGAAACCATACAAATTAAAGTAAAAATCATATAAACAAATGAATTACAACACTTTATTGGGACCTCTGTTATTGGGACCACACACAAAAACAGAGGTCCCAATAACAGAGGTCTAATATTCTAAAGCACAAAAAATCAAACTTCTGGGACCACTTACATCAACATATAATACAAGACAAAAAAAAAACAAAAGGTAGATCTTTCAATACCAATTGAAAATTGAATCCCAAAAATCACATAATATAATATTCATCTTCATTCAAACACTTAAAAAAACTTAGAATCATGACTTACAATATATTTTATTTGGATCCAAAAACTAATCTACAGGTCACAACACCCAAGACATCATTCTGGTAAGCACAAAGAAACAAGTCATTTTCCTTGAAAGAGACGAACAATTCATTTCTCCTTAATTACCCCTACACCTTGCNGCTGGCAACAAACCCTAGCAATGGAAAACTCAAAATGCATTAAACTGGTATCCTTTCAAATGTAGAATCAAACATAGTATGTATGTAGATTAATACATAGTATGCATTAAACTGGTATTACCTTTTGTTGGTCAGAAATAATAGTCCACTCAGACTGGTCTGCAAGCCCAATGTCATCACAAACTAGTCGTACAAACCAAGTCCATGATGATTTTATTTCCTTTTCAACTGCTACATATGCAAAAGGGTACATTCCGTCATTTGCATCAACCCCCTACTGCTGATAGCAACTCCCCTGTGTATGTTCCTCTCAGAAAACATCCATCTAGTCCAATCACCTTTCGGCATCCTGTTATAAAACCTTGCTTGAGTGGCCCCAGACATCAATATCATCTTTTAAATCTTGGATTTTCATCTCCACCAATGTTGTCATCCACATCTACAACCATTAGAGATNCTTCAAAAGAAAGGTCGAATATGGAGCCTTAGTCTTATGAATACCACCACCTTAAGCAAATTCTTACTGGAGCCAATGCTAATCCATGGAACAAAAATGAGTTTCTATCCATCTTCTATCTCCAATTCAATCAAAATCTCCACCCACCTTCTCCTTCGTCTTCGCACTCGCACACATCAATTAGCAGTAGCAACTCGACAAGTTCACACCACCGCAGAATCACCACAGGATGACGACGCAATCGTCTCCACTCTCTGCAATTCATTGCGAAAAGGCCAGAACTGGAACACCCTAACCCGAAAATTCAACACAATCGAGCTCACCAATCAAATCATCAACAAAGTACTCCTACAACTGAAGGAGCCCATTGATGCAAAACGAGCTCTGGGTTTTTTCCACTGGTCGGCTCAGGACAAGCACTGTAAACATGGCATTTCTGCTTACTGTGTCACTCTTCACATCTTGGTCAAAGCCAAGTTGATAAAGGACGCCAAAGCATTGCTTGAATCAGTACTGTTGACCCCTACTGTTTCTGGTAATTCTCAGACTTTCTCAGTTCTTGATTCACTGCTTGATACTTACAAGCTTACAGATTCGACTCCTTTTGTGTTCGATTTATTCGTACAAACTTGTTCTAAGTTGAGGTTGATAGATGATGCTCTTGATGTTTGTAAATACTTGGATGAAAATGGGTTCACACTGAGCATTACAAGTTTTAATGCTTTGCTTCATGTGGTTCAAAAATCTGATAAGACCCACTTAGTTTGGAGAATCTATGAGCATATGGTTGAAAAAAGAACATACCCTAATGAAGTAACTGTCAGGATTATGGTCAGTGCATTGTGTAAAGAAGGTAAGTTGCAAAGGTTTGTTGATATTGTGGATAGGATTCATGGGAAGAGAGGGTCACCAGTGGTGCTTGTGAATACATGTTTGGTTTTTGGGATAATTGAGGAGGGAAGAATTGAAGATGGGTTGGTGTTGTTGAAGAGACTATTGCAAAAGAATATGATTGTTGATGCTATTTCGTATTCTGTGATTGTCTTTGCCAGAATAAAGCTTGGGAATTTGGACTTAGCATGGGAGGTTTATGAGGAAATGCTTAAGAGAGGTTTTCTTGTGAATTCATTTGTGTGTACGTTGTTTATTGAGGCTTACTGTAAGATGGGAAGGGTTGAGGAAGCAATTGGATTGATGCAACAAATGGGAATTTCGGTTTTGAAGCCTTATGATGAGACTTTTAATCACCTCATTGTTGGTTGCTCTAAAGTGGGAAGATTGGGGGAGAGCTTGGAGTGGTGTCAGAAAATGGTGGACTTGGGATTTGTTCCAAGCTGTTTGGTTTTCAACGATATGGTTGGAAAGCTGTGTGCAAATGGGAATGCAAAGCAGTGTAACGAGATGTTGACTGTTCTACTAGATAAAGGGTTTGTGCCGGATGAAATCACATACTCTCACCTTATTGCAGGATATGGGAAAGAAGGTAATATTGAGGGAGTTCTCAAGCTTTGTTATGAGATGGAATACCGATCACTTCCTCTTTGTTCTTCCACTTTTACGTCTTTAATTCTCATTCTTTGTGAATATGGGAGATTGGAGGAAGCAGACCAATATCTAAAAGTCATGAGAGATCGATCTTTAGCTCCAAGTGCATGTGTTTATGAGACATTGATTGCCAGTCACTATAAGAAGGGTAACAAAACTAGGGCTCATCAACTTCACAGTGAAATGGCTGGAAAAGGATTGAAGCCTAGTCGCACATTACACAGTCTTATCAAGGAGGGAAATGCTTGTGAGCTCTCTAGTCGATAAGCAAGCAACCAGAACGGGTGATTCGCAGGCTTGAATCCATGCTCGGGAGTCTCTTCACATGGAACTGGCTGGATTGCCCCTATTTCTAATGGGCAGAATGGGTCCCTACTCATCCTATTAAGTCACTAACTTAGAGCAATTCCAAGGCTGCTCGGTATTCAGCCCTTTTAACTATTTTGGCAAGCTAAACTATAAAATTGGTGTTCCAACCTACTACCCAGCCTCCTCGCCAAAATAGTTGGAGGTCTTCATCCTAACTAGATCTGGAGTGGCCAATTGCTTGCCAGTTGCTGTTCGGCTCTCCCTCCCTTCAATCGCTCTGCCTCCTTCTCTACCAGATTTATCTTCTTTCCTCCATTTCTGCTTCATTTATGCACAACGACACACTGTAGGCGAAACTGCTCTCTCCCTTCAGTTGTTCTGTGCCCTTTGCCGAATTGGAGTTTTTTGACTGTTTTGAATTAGGTCTAAGAACTAGCAAAAAAAAAGGTCTGAGATATTTAAAGTTTAGGTCTGAGATAAAATTAGGCATTGTTGAATTATATTATTGAAAGTTAGTTGAATTAGTTAGCTAAAATAGAGAGCGGTTAAATTGAATTTTAAAAAGTGACTAGCTAAAATAGAGAATTCAATATTTAAATATATTTTTGAGAAATTAATTTGCTGGNAAGTGCATGTGTTTATGAGACATTGATTGCCAGTCACTATAAGAAGGGTAACAAAACTAGGGCTCATCAACTTCACAGTGAAATGGCTGGAAAAGGATTGAAGCCTAGTCGCACATTACACAGTCTTATCAAGGAGGGAAATGCTTGTGAGCTCTCTAGTCGATAAGCAAGCAACCAGAACGGGTGATTCGCAGGCTTGAATCCATGCTCGGGAGTCTCTTCACATGGAACTGGCTGGATTGCCCCTATTTCTAATGGGCAGAATGGGTCCCTACTCATCCTATTAAGTCACTAACTTAGAGCAATTCCAAGGCTGCTCGGTATTCAGCCCTTTTAACTATTTTGGCAAGCTAAACTATAAAATTGGTGTTCCAACCTACTACCCAGCCTCCTCGCCAAAATAGTTGGAGGTCTTCATCCTAACTAGATCTGGAGTGGCCAATTGCTTGCCAGTTGCTGTTCGGCTCTCCCTCCCTTCAATCGCTCTGCCTCCTTCTCTACCAGATTTATCTTCTTTCCTCCATTTCTGCTTCATTTATGCACAACGACACACTGTAGGCGAAACTGCTCTCTCCCTTCAGTTGTTCTGTGCCCTTTGCCGAATTGGAGTTTTTTGACTGTTTTGAATTAGGTCTAAGAACTAGCAAAAAAAAAGGTCTGAGATATTTAAAGTTTAGGTCTGAGATAAAATTAGGCATTGTTGAATTATATTATTGAAAGTTAGTTGAATTAGTTAGCTAAAATAGAGAGCGGTTAAATTGAATTTTAAAAAGTGACTAGCTAAAATAGAGAATTCAATATTTAAATATATTTTTGAGAAATTAATTTGCTGGGCAGGGTTAGAGTTGCTATTAGTGGTTTTTTAGTTATCAGATTGGTGAAAAAAGAGAACTGCTTTTAATCAAACAAAATGAAACTGATGCAGCATAAGATTTGCAATAAGTTGAATCATGGCAGATCTAATATCTTAGTAAATTGAGAGTTAATTCCTAAAAGATATTCAAATCAATTTATGATTGGGATCGAAGTTTTCATCCCTTACATTTTTCATAATCTAGTTAAGATTTGAGAAGAAGAATTGCTGATTTTGACATTGATCACTTCGGATATAACCCTGTCTGGGGGTGTTGTGGAATAGGTGCCCACCACCTCCCAGACATTCCTATTGTTACCCCATTAGGTTCTAAAGTAATCATGTTAGTTTCTATCTAGTATTTTACTTCATATTTGGAAGCAAACATGGCCAAAACAAAAGACATCATTAGAATTGCAATCCACAGGGAAAACATTATTTTTTTAGATATTCTCATGATTATAATTCCTGTTTCAATTCACTGTGAGTGAAAATTTGAACTCATCATCAGCAATGCCTTTTTATCACAATGAGCAACACTTTTATCACAATGAACTATTAGCTTAGTCAGCTTTAGAAAAGTAGAGTCTTTAAAAATGATTCATTTTCTTCAGTTTGACGCAGTTTGTGACTTTCACAATTGTAAAGGATGATCTACATGACCCATACAATGTGCTGGAGAATTGGGATACTAATTTTGCACTAATAATACCAACTTAACCGCAATTCAAAATAATTCATGTGTAAGACACATGTGCATCAACTAATATAAACCAAGGTCAAAAAGAAAAAATATGGGAGATTTACTGTACAATCTTACAAGGTAACAATAAATCGAGCCAAGAATAAGACTCATGGATTTGAGCAGCTTGTATCNGTGCATCAACTAATATAAACCAAGGTCAAAAAGAAAAAATATGGGAGATTTACTGTATAATCTTACAAGGTAACAATAAATCGAGCCAAGAATAAGACTCATGGATTTGAGCAGCTTGTATCAAAACTGTTATAAGAAACTATTCTGAGACCAAAACTGTGGATTTGAGGAGAGCTAGTCGGTTTTTTGTTAAAGTTAATTTCTCTTCAGCTTCTGCAGCTTTTTCTCGTACCCCACGAACAACTTCCTCAGGAGCTTTCTCTACAAACTGTAGACAGCAAACAAAAACTTGGTGAGACCATGACCAGATGCAGTAAGTGGTTGGATTAGAAATAAAAGAATGCATCTATTAATTTTTTTTTTTTTTACCAATTCATAGAATGAGTTGCACGGATTAATTTGAGACACAATCGAAATTAATCACACAGTGCAGTAGGCAAAGAAGGCTAGCAGCTGATTCTAAAATAAAAGTTTCAAAACCAATTTCAAAAAAGGTTTCTCTGATTTTAGAAGCCTTGAGGCATGTACTTTGTCCCAAACTCAAAACTATTCCTGTAGCCATTTAGAATATTTTCAACCAAGTAAAAAGGCTTTTTATCCCCCAAAAAAGCTGCTGCTTCTAGCAACTGCCTTCGTGTAGTGCACCACTACTTCAGAGCTGCATGCTCTTTATCCATTCAACACTGTTGTCATATCAAGACCAAAGCCAAATGCAGCTTTTTTTCTGTCAACCAGGGATTCCTTAAAAATTTAGCTTGCAAGCAAGGTTTTCTGCTCAATTTATATCACAATCAACTGTCTTTTTGTATACCATATCATGATTCATTACACATTTGCATCAGGACAAGGTTGTGTTTGGACGGAATTGCTAAGCCAAGGTGTACCTTTAAACATCTATTTAATATTACAAGTAGGAGCTGAATTGTCAATTTATACATGCACAACAACGGTCAAGAATTTTTATTTACTTTGATCTCATGATACAAAATTCATTCCAAAAAATTTTTCCCTTCAAAAAAAAAAATCATTTGCTCCTAATATCAGACAACTCAACCAACACTTTCTAATGCCACACAACCCCGCTAATCCATAGCCACTTCTCTTATTTCTCTCGACTTTAATTTTAAATTGTGTAATTAAAGAAAAAGAAAATAAATATTATTTAAAATATAAATGTTACACGATCAATGCACGATTTTTTGTTTTATAGAATGTCTTAAGGCACGAGGTTATTGCTAGTGTACTAACAAAATAGTAAAAGGAAAGGTGTGTACACGTATATTGGACAACATTTGAAGCTTAAAACTTTTCATGCTTTTATGTGCATAAAAAAATGTATGACATGAGAAACACCAAAAAGCAAAGGATTAATTAGCTTCATAATTCTGTCCCACTTATTCATGCCCAAAGCAAAGATGAATGCATGTAAATAAAATGAAGTGACATACATTAGAAGACTTCAAGCGGGCCACAAGTCCGTCATACTCTGTTTGCATCTTGGTAAGGCGTTTGGAAAGGCGCTCAACTTCAGCAGATATATCTACCATATCTGTAAGAGGAAGATAAGCCTCTAGACCTTCACCAGCAACAAGATGGACAGATTGATCGGCATCCCCTGACACATTGTTGGTGGTTGTTTAGATTAGAGTGATCAACAGTTCAGCATCTCATACCAATAACAATCAATGGTTGTAAATGTGGCTGGAAAATCTATAACAAAAATCTCTGGCAAGTGATGAAAAGAAAGGTAAATTCTCATGTTTACCTGGGGGATAATCTGTAAAATGGATGTTTTGCAGATCTAGCCTGGAGAGAAGAGCTAAAACTTCCTTTTCTTTCTGCATCAAGTAAAAATTGTAAGTCGATGTCTGCCCAAATATGCACACAATGCATGACCGCAGGATTCCACAAAGGAACATGATACCAAATAATAAGCTAAATATTCACTGTTCACTAGTACTATTTCTACCACACATCTATTTTAAAGGTGTCAATGAAACATAATAGGAAGTGGACAACGGTATCAGATCACTACTGAGATAGCTTACAAGAGCTAGAGAACTCAGTATTAAAAACTCATAGAAATATCACCTAACCTCATATTTTGAGAAGTTAAAAGCATTGCTGTAACATTAACATTTTGATGATTAGAGTGATATTACTGTCCAATTTTGTCACAAGCTGTTTCTTGGTGGCCCAACATTCTGTACTATGTTAAATAAACTGTTACAGGATCACATAGCAATATATAGAAAACGTTTTGCTTCATCTGGCTCTAGTCACATGGGCCACATCCTTTTTTAATTCTCTTTTGGATATCACTATGAATCATTATTAAACATCTCTTGCCGCCAATTTCATAATTCATTAACTTTTCATGCCCATGATTCAATATAGAAGTTACATTCAGGCATGTTCAAATCATAGATCTTTGTTTATGTAGGTCTACATACATAAAGGCATCCAAAACAAACATAGATACAACTTTTTTGTCTCAATATACAAACTGTTTTTTACAAAATGACCCCAAATAAATAGACTAGGTCTGAGTTGAGCAGCATATGATTCCATTTTAATCTAGTCAGCCAGAACTGTCAAGATATCCATTTTTCATGACACAAATAAGCAACGCCATAACTTGGTATTGCATTACAATCTCACACAAAGCTATTGATACGTGCATGTGCGCGCGCGCGCGCACACACACACACACAAGTATATGAATTCAAATGGTTGAATACCCAAAATATAAAGCTAATACAAAAATTTTGGTACTAGTCAAAGCATCCACAATATGTGAACCCTTAACATCATTAATTGGGTTCCAACTTCCAACATTTTTGTCTGCAAGACCTAGCTCATCCTTTTCTTGCAGCCACAATTGTGTCTTCAGGTATTAGTCAAAAGAAGAAATGTCATGCATAAAAATTTGATCGCTTTTTGCAAAAGGCAATTTACAGCCTGATTTCTACTGTTGCATTCACTTGTTCCAATGTAGAGCACCAAGCAAAATATTTTAAAAACCCTCTGGTAAATGTTAAATGTATGCATTTTAAGATTTCTAAATTTTTATACACACCCTGTTAACCATTTAAGCTGACAATTGAATCTATAAGTTGACAACCTATGAAGCATGGATATTTTGTTAGGTTCGAAGTACCCATATCGGATATGATACTCATCGGATACGTATCGAATACATATCCGATAATAAATAAAACATGTGGATACTTCACGGATTACTTCAAGATGTACAATTTTTAATTTTAAACTATATCCTTTCTTTTTGAATTCACATAGTACATACAATACAAAACATCAATAAAATTGCTCTTGATTTTGAAGACAAGTGTTTTTTAATTATTATCTACTATTGCATGCCAAAAGAGTATAAAAAATGAGTTAGTTATATACAAATACTTGTAAACAAACTAACTAGTTAAATATTGATTCTAATTTCTTTAATTGACCACATTTACTTTATAGATATATCATAATAAAATGATATTATATATTTTTCAATGTAAAACTTGCTAATTTTGCTTACTATTATTAGAGAATTATTAAAAATTATAATTTTTAAGTCATTAAATAATAGTAAAATATAAAATATATTTTATTCTATACGTATCTTAGTCGTATCTATATCGTATTGTACCCGTATCCATGTCCGTACTTCTTAGGTAACAACTCTATACTTACTCTCTCATACTCTTTAAACTATGAATAGTTCTTGTTTTTTAAATATTTTCACATAAATTTACGACTTTTTGTTTTGAGGCTAATGATGGGATGTCCAACCATAGTTATTGGGATCATGGATACCACATGCGTTCCTGGACGAGATCATATGGTCCGAAACATGTTGGGTCTACAATCCAAATTACTCAAATTTCCAAATTATAAATAAACCTCAAATCAATCAACGATCCAAGTAATCCCCAATTATAGCCCTAACCCAAATTGTAAGTCATTTGTTTCTTTTGGTGATGTTTAAACTTATATTTTGGTTTGTTGTGATATGAATTTTTTTCGTAATATAAATATTAATTAACTACACATACATGAATATATCATATTCCATGAATTCATATACTAGTGAAAACTTTGAGAATAAGAGCTACAAAGCCAACTGCGATCCAAAACAGCGTACTTACTATGTCTACCCTTATCAACCCGTTGCGTTGTCATCGTAGATCAAAAAAAATATTGTACCTCATACCTGCACCCGTATCAAATTGACCCACATTCCAAGTAACATTAGTTTCCGACCTCTTAGTGCACCTCACTAATCCCTTACTACTTTCCATTTGACTGTCACACTTTTCTTCCTCTATTCAAAGGCTTAAATTTCAACTTCAATATTTACTTGCAAAACATCGTCATGACCCAAAACCCCATCTCCATGGGGTATGGAATTGGACCAGCCAAAAATGCCTAACATGAAACCAAATGTGTTGTATCTCATAAACAACCATCATAATTGTTACAACTCATAAACACACATCAGTCATTTATACGAAGCATGACCTTTACTAACATATAAGCTTTAAATATTTAATGAGTACATTTAATTACGTCAACCATAGTTGTTAGTATCGTACGATACGCGATACGTATCGTACGATACGCGATACGTATCGTACGATACGCGATACGTATCGTACGATACGGATCGTAGTTATGTATCGTTTTTGCGTTGTATCATCCGATACACGATACGTATCGGTACGAAACGCACTATACGTGCAATTTTTTTTTTTTTTTTTTTT